GTCTGAATGTCATATTAACCATGTACTTAATTTGCACACATATTTGTATTTATTTATTTATTTTTATTGTTTTTTCTTTTGGGGGGGAGGTGATTAGGTTTATTATTTACTTATTCATTATTTATTTTTAATAGAGGTACTGGGGATTGAACCCAGGATCTTGTGCATGCTAAGCAGGCACTCTACCACTGAGCTATACCTGCCCTTGTGTTTATTTCCTGATTTTCTATTTTGTGCTTCTCATTTGTCCCTATAGGTAGGGACCCATACCAAACTGCTTTCATTTTATTAGCTTTATATTTTAATATCAAGTATAACTAATCTCAGCCCAGTACTCTTCCCTTCCAGGATTTTCTTGAATATTCTTGCATGTTCCCTTCTTTAAAAACTTTCTCTTTTGTTAAAATTAAATCTACCCATGGTTTAAAAAGCTAAACAGTTCTACAGGATTTAAGATAGTGGTCCCCTCTTCTACCTGCCCCTCAATGGTCCTCACCAGAACACAAGCATTTTCACAACTTTTAGTTGACTATTTTGGCATTTATCTTCATGACTCTAAAAACATGTTTGGTTTTCCCTTTTTAGATATTATGTACTGACTTTCCTCTATGGAAGACAATAATTTATCTTTCTTCCCTACCCGATCTCCACCACACACACACACACACCCTTCCCACCTCTCCATTCTCCCCATGTAGTTACAATGTAATTTAGACTAGAGCAATAATCAGTGTTTGAATGATTATACCTGAGTAAATTTCTTTTCAGAGCTAAACCTTGGAATAAACTGATTACTTGTTTTTCTGGGAGTTAACTATTGTCTTTTTTTTCCTCTTAGTTTTCTTTGTGCTAAGCATTAATGCTGAACTCACAGTCATCTTCAAGACAACCAGATGAATTTTGTATGCTATCAATTTCATCTCCCCCAAAAAAGCCTCTCCCAGAGCCTTCTGATCAGTTGTGTTTGGACTGGTGACAGTGGGCATAACTGTCTTTTAGGAACTCCCCTCCCATCATCTGAAGTTTCTCTTTATGTCTTTCCTATTTTTAGTAGAGAGCATCCTTCAGTAATTTCCTCTATTTAGCAAAGAATGCATGGAAAGTAAAATTTTAAGAACTTTTATATCCAAAATACATTTTATCCTCACACTTGATTTATATACTGTTTGATTTGGTATAGAATTGTAAATTGAAAATCATTCATCTTCAGAATATAAAGATAATTCCTTGTCATTTCTAGCCTTCAGTTTTGCTACAAGAAATTGAAAGGTTTTTCTGATTCCTAATCATTTATTTGTTCCTGTTTAGTTTATATGTTTCTCTAAAGAACTGTAGGCTTTTCTCTTTGTCCCCAGTAACCTGAAATTTCATGAATTTCAAGGTGTGAGTTTATTTCATCCGTTGTGCTGTGTACTGAGAGAGTTGTTTCAACCTGCTAACTCATGTTCTTTTCTTGAATTATGTCATTGAACATTTCCTCCCTGTATGTACTCTGTTCTCTCTGGGACTCTTACTTTGATATTGAACTTCCTACACCAGTCCTCTAATTTTCTCATATTTTTCCTTCCTTTTTAAAAAATCCCTTTGTTCTGCTCTTCTCGCTGGAAATTCCTAAGCATTTTCTCCATCACTTGTGAGTTTTTATTTCTATTTTAATTTCCAAGAACTCTTTCTTAGTCCATTAAATTATCTCCCTTATTTGTATCCCTAAAAATTATGCTGTTTCCTAAACAGGTTTTCAACTCATCCTTATTCTAATCCCCATATTCCTCTCTCTTCACTTCCATAAGTTCTTAAGAACTCTAGTTAATGAACCTTTCTAGGAGTGATTAAATTATTGCTTCTCCATATTACTGGCTCTTTCTGGTGTGCTATATAAATTACCATTCATTCATCCCCTCTAAATCATTTAAAATTTGTTGGTAGTTCTGTATTTATTTTCAAAGCTATTTTTAAATTGTGACAAATTTTATTTATTATTTATGTAGCAATATACAGTTTTATCTGAAATTGACTTCAGGTGTTTTAAAAGGAGAATAAATTGAAAAAATTTCAATTAGTATATTAGTATAGACAGTTTGTAGCTTCTCAAAAAATATATATATATATTGAATTTAGGATACTTGTGTCCATAAAACAGAGGAAATTCAAAGTAATATGATCAATAGTTGCATTAGTTTTTCTTTCTCTCATTTCCTCCCTCTACTTAAGAAACATAGATGTACCTCAGCCTTAAATATCTGTTTCTTTTCCTGTTTTCATCATAGTTTTTGTATTGTTTCAATATTATTTTTTAATTTTCATTGTGCAATTGTTTCCTTGTATTTGATGTAAAACTCTGTAGCAAAACTGGATGCTGCTAAAACAAAGACAGCTGTGTTTACTTGAATTTGTAACATCCCAGTAATAATTTGTGATGAGATTAGTGTAACTACTTTTGGTACTAAATACTTCCCAAAGTATTCATGATAAGACAGAGGAAACAAAATTGCAAGTTAATAACTACCTTAGTGTTCAGCATAACATATTGGTTACTTTCTGTGGGGGAGGCATGTGATAACTGGCTGATTGGCTGAGCGGGGTTATATCCCATAGAAGGCTCCTCTGCCTTGCACAATCGTCAGAACTCAGTTTTACTGGGAGAGATCAGATGAGGGGAGCTTTGTGGCACTGAATGCCTGGAGTGGCTTTATCTGGTAACACAGCCTCTATCTTTCCTACTATATTGTTTGTCTTTGTGATGCAGATGCCAGAACATCGTTGTTCATGACTTGGGCAACTGTCCAAAGTGCAGATGAAGACAAAGGTGTCTGGGAGATTTCTCATTTTTGAGAAAGCTTTTTTAATATTTGCATTTGTGATGCTTTTAAGAGAAAGTCATCATTTATAATTGTTATTATTATCATTTAAAATCTAAAAGGGAGAGAACAGATGCCAAACAGTGATACAAAAAGAAGTAATGATAATATTTGGACACAACTCAAGGGCCTAGGGTGGTTTTTTGACAAATCTTGATAAGCAAGAAAGGAGAGCAGCTCAAAGATACAAGTATATTCTTTAATCTGCAGGTTTATTTTTTGTAATAAAAAATAAAAAATATGTATATAATAATAGGCCACACTGATAAAATATCTCATTAAAACTGAATTTTGTTTAACTGAATTGTTTGATTATATTTAACATTTTGATAATATTTTTCAGTGATTCTTAGACGATTAAAGAAACTAATATTTGGTGAAAGTCAAAAGAAAATGCAGAAGAAATTCTGATCATATTCATATGAGTAATATGATTTCTTCTAGTCAAGTTAATACTTTTCATATTCCTAACTTGTTTTTTTAAGGGAATTTTTTCTACTTAAATGTCTAAACTGTTGTATTGTTGAAGAATTTCTGTTTAAGATATATAAGGATGTGGTCCTTCATATTCAAATGTTCTGCTATTGATACACCATCAGTTAGAAAACATGGTTTTAGTCATTATTTTTTAGTATTCATAATAGATTTACATTTTTTCCCCATCCACTTGACCCAGTCTCTCAGAAACCAGTGACATCTCTCTCTCCCTCTCTCCCTTGTTTCTTCCTTGCCACCCTGTCTCCTTACCTCCCTTCCTCCTCTCCTTAGCAGATTTGGTGCAGATGGGTAGGAAGTAAAAGATAAATCGTATTAAAACAACTCTTTACTCCCTTGTAAACCTTTAATATTTATTTTGGCTTTCCTTTTAAAAATGTTGCCTTTTGGTTTGCTTCAGTCTTTGTCTATAGTATTATGGTATTATCATTTTCTCAGCATGTAAATAAAATTCCTCATTTATTCAGGACCATTGTACCATTTTTTGTTGAAAAAAAATTCAATGTAAAATAACAGCACATTACAGAAAATCTGAGAAGACTATCACTTCAATCTGCAAGTATTCATTGAGAGAATATGTGTCATGCCAGAGATATACTGGTGACAGAGAAATTGAACATAAACTGGTAAACAGAGATACAAGATGATTTCAGATAGTGATAAGTGCTATAATGAAAATTAAATGGGCACATGTGACAGAGTGGTGTGTGTGTGCGTCTGCACATGTGTGCTTACACGTGATAGTCACAGTTCCTTAGTTTCTCAGTTATCAAATGAAGAGTTCAAATAGATGGTCTCTAGAATGCCTTCAGATCTTTTCCAAGAATGCAACTTCTCTAATTTTGTTCAACGGCTTTAGATCCATTTCACTATTACAATTATGTGATCTGTTTTCTACCCATATTAGTACTTGAAAAATAATAATTGAAGAATGAAAAATCCACCTATTGGGATTTCAAAAGTGTCTGTATTTTCTATCTTCTAAATAAAAACCTAAAGGAAAACACATGAGTGTATCTGTCCACTCGAAGGGACTCAAAGCGCAATTTTCATCCATGTTCCATGTACTGTATCTCTTTATTTGCCTCTTTGCATAAAGAGGCTTTTAGAAACCACTGTTTTCTGGCTAAAAAAAAAATGAGTACAGTGGTTTGGACAATGGTATGACTAAGCTTTTAGCTTTTTCATTTACTGTGAGCTGCTTGGCCAGTTGCAATGGATCTAGTCCCATCTCAGAATCTCCTAAAAGAAGAATCAGGAGTGAGCGTTCACTTTTGAAGATCTGTTGGCTGAGAATTATTCCACATGGAAAGTCACAGAAAGTCATCGTGTGATAGCAATGATTAGTGATAGTGATGGTATTAATACTATTTAGAGAACTATTGCATGTATTATAAACCTCTTTTGGAAACCATGGTAGAACCTCTGAAACATTATAAATTCAAGTTTTCAATTTGGTAGAAGAAAGAGGACAAATCATCTGTTTAGATTTTTAAATAATGACTTTATTTTCCTCACTTAATATTCACAAAAATACCATCAAGAAAATATATTTTTCTTGGTTGGCAGTCTGAAATTATTTCTCACTCTTATTATAAAGGCTGTTATTTTAAAAAATCTAAGTGGAACATGGATGGAAATCTTCACCCTTTCAGGTGGAGAAATATACTTTGTGTTCTTTTAAATTTCCTTCAGTAGTAGGACCTTTCAGCCTTGCTTCTTTCTGTCATCCATTGCTCTCACTTTCATTTAGAAATTGAACATAGCCAATTGGAAGAGGGGAGAGGTGAAAAACAGTTCTAGGATTAATCAATCATAAAAATAACCACAAAAATAAAAAGGAGTTAATAAGACAAATGTGTGTACAACTGATATTATTTCTCTCTATCGCAGAGGCAAGCCAAACTTACTGGACGTGGGCTCTTTAATGATCAAACCAATTCAGCGTGTGATGAAGTACCCCCTATTACTGTGCGAACTCCGGAACTCCACCCCTCCCTCCCACCCAGACTTCAGAGCACTGGAGGATGCCTTTGCTGCAGTGAAAGACATTAACGTAAACATTAATGAACTTAAAAGACGGAAAGATCTAGGTAAGACGAGATGTGGTAAATCGGGTGTTTTCCATGGTTGGAGGATTCTGCTTATGTTTCTGAGAACCGGAATGTCTCAGGAGCTACAGCGGTTGTCGTGCTCATGAGCATTTGATACCTAGAGTTGGAGGCTAGGGAGGAGAGGGTGGTTTTGCCTTGCCAGCCAGGATCTGGAGAAGATCATGAGGCATCAAAAAAAAAATGACCACTTTTTATCAAACAGCCCTATGCTCAACCTCTTGTGACCACTGTGTGCTTAGTGATGTATTGTGGGCTGAAGAAACCCACAGCACCTGTCACTGGTGTTTTGTCTAGTAGGAAGGAGGCCTGGCCTGGCCAGGGTGCTGGGAGCAGTGAAAAGCTAGAGCTGAAAAGCGGTGGTGAGAAGGGCAGAGCCAGGTGAGGGGCCCAGCTAACACATCAGGCTTTGGTTCTGGAACACAAAGAACAGGTATTTGGGGGCAATAATTACTCCAGTGAAGGGACCAAATATATTTCTTTCTCAAATCAACAAATTACTCATAAGTATTTGTAAGCTAAGACATAAAATTCACCTCTAAAGTAGAATATAGATTTCAAAACAGGAGGCAGAATGAGATGGTTCCTACCATCCCAGGTGTAATGAATTGGGATAGATCGTGGGTCCTCTCTCAGTGTGATTGGTGTCCATATATTCTTTTATTTTTAATTTAGTGAAACCAAATATTTAATATATTTCAAATATAG